ACTCTTGCTCTCCCATTTCCAGTCCAGCTATCCTCTGAAGAAAAGAAAATCCAGCTTTCTCCTTATTTATGCAATGCTTGTTGAGCCAGTCCATTTTGTCCATGCTGCAAACAGCTGGGAATGAATTTTCTCTCTCTCTGAGTTAATGGCAATGATGATGTTCGGTTCTGCCTATGGAATGCAAACAGCCTGGGCCTGAAAGATCTTTTCCTGAAGGAAAAAGCAGTTCAGACCTGTAATTTCTTATTGTACTATTTAGCTGTGCCTGGGCAGAACCCACAAAATACATAAACTCTCTGAAGTGAGTCAAAAGGAAGAGATCCTCATCAGTTACAGCTTAGGTGAGGTTGTTGGTCTTGATTACAGAGAATGCTGATGCAGGTCCGTTCTTAGCACTGAAGCAAACTGTGTCGTTTGGAGAAGGTCACTCTTATCTCATACAGTGAAGTCTCTATGCCCCATTTGTTGGTCCTCCAGGGAAACTGGTTGGCCATTGTGTGTAACAGGGTGCTGAACTAATGCACAGTTGGTCTGATTCAGGAAGGCTCTTGTTATGTTCACAGCCAAACCTATTTCACAGTGTGGTTGTGAACCTACAACAGTGCGCTGAGCTCCTTGGGAAAGACATTCCCAGAGCACCTTGAGCACCAAGAAGAAGAGAGTGGATTACAAAACTGCAGTGGGCAGAGACAAGAACGGAACTGTGCGTGAGTTTCATCACAACAGGATGGGATAGGACCACAGAGGGAGTGGCTGCAGAGGAACGGACAGGCAACTGCATCAGGATTGGAGTTCATAACGCCCATTGTCTGAACAGTCCGGTGAGCCTGAGTTTTAAGGAGCTGCTCCAACTAGGAAAGTGGACAGGCTCTTTCCTGATTTAGTCAAAGCGGGCAGAAATTATTAGTTATCCATCAATTACAAATCTAGCAGCTAGTTTCCCAAGAAACAACAGCCAAAGGAGGTTTCTCCCTCATTACCATAGTGTTTGTGACAACTTCATCCCTAGATCCATTCCAGTGTTTCAGACTGCCCTGAGTTTACCATGCTTAACGACACCAAGATTTATAGTAATAAGAGACAGATCAGAGGAGATTCTAGAGTCAAGTTAGTTCAGTTGTTGCTATTCTCTACTCTAGACAGGTAAGCAAGCTCACTGTTAAACTCTGCATCTGTTTAAACTTGCGCTGTCCCTTGCCCCTTGGTTCCCAAGAGTGCCTTGGCTTCTGGATACAATCGTTACTACCCCCAAGAGGACTCGTGGGTACCAAAGCTCATGTGTGGTACATTTTAGGTGCCGGTGAAGACATCTGCACAGCATAATGTTCAGGATGCTGAATTCAATCATAGCCAGAATTCGGGATTATTCCAGTGTTTATTGTAGGTAGGCAGTTTCTATTCACTTGTTTTGTCCCTGGATGTAGTTTGCTAATTTGAGCTCCTTCAAGTTAACTGTTGAGTGTTTGTGTCAATATTGCTTAACCAAACATCAATAATGCTAAAATAGAGTCATTTATCTCATTTCCTCCCCTTTTCTCAGCTGGCAAAGCATCCCACGTCACTGATGTCTACCAGGTAGTTTGGAGAGCTGAAAAAAGGAGGCCCTGCAATTTAAGATGCAGACACAAACCATAATTGGACTGCAGTTATGACACCCATACAGCTTTCTGTCCAGGTTCAAGCAGCAGCTTTGTTTATTGACAAAGTCAGGTTTGCACAGGATTGCCTATACTTGTGTCAATCATAAAACAACTTTTCCTTACCTCTTCTCAGAACGCAGTGGCACAGAGTCTGATCAGCTGGCCCTTGCTTCATTCAGGAGGCCAATCTCTCTGATCCAATGCCAAAGTGAGAAAAAATCTTTTAAAAAGAATGCATCGGAGAATTATGCTAGATCCTTAAGAAAAACAAACCATAGTGGACAGCTCCCCTCCCTTCGGTCTTTCCCTCCAGAGCCAGGTATGCTTGATATGGAAATGGGGAGACATAGAGATCACTCTGCAGCTCCCCCCCACACACACTATGGTTCCTATTCCTATGTATTTCTCTCTCCAGCCTTAGTTGCTGAGGACACCGTTTTTGAATATTCTGATTAGAACTGAAAAGTTTAGCGTTGTCTAGAACATGGCAAAACACACACACACACCATCTTTTGGGACACTTCATATTTTCAGTCCCTCTTTTTTCCTGGAGGCAAGAACAGAATAGATGCTGAATTCAGTTGTGCCAACCGCTGTGTACAGATTTTAATTTTTCCACATTGCAGAAATAGGCATAAGGGGTCTTGGTGCAATTCATTATGGGCCACACATTTCATGGTGAAGCCAACGAGGGATTGAGCAGGTTCTTTCTGCAACTGTTGCTTGGTTTCAGGCCTGTACTTGGGCCCTGTGTGTGTGAGTGTGTGTGTGAGAGAGAAAGAGCAGCTCACAGGAGCAAGTGACTTGCTCCCTAGCTACTGCTTGTCTTCTGGCAGTGATCGATCATTCCCAGTAGATCATTCAACCCACTTAAGTGCTTCCACCTGTCCCATAGCTCAGGAACTTAGGGCCCAAGGTACATTCCCTCCCCTTAATCAACAAAGTGAGTCTGGGCAGATTCCATACTATTAAGTGAATTTTAGATATATGCAGCCATAATGCACATATCCTAAAGAAAACAAGATGACTGTAATTAGTTGAAATCAATGCTTGACAGATATTCTGACAAACACACACAAAAAGGTTAAGGCTGCCGATTTACCTGCTTGTCTTCTGGCAGTGCAAACCCCATTGAAAGCACTCAGACTTACTTCTGAGTAAACATGTAGGGGATTAAGCTGTATATATTTTTTTTTTAAAAAAAAATGAAAATCTGATCCTTCAGCTTTGAGGTCCCTTTTCCATGGACTTAATTTTCAAATAAAATAAATGAGTCAATAAAACAAAGCCAAGTTCTTCATAGAATTGGGGACTTCTGCTTCTCTCATTTCTCAGACATTAGAATGGTTGTTATCCACCTTATTTGGAAGGCAATATAGAGAAAAGAGAGAACATCTCCTCCTAGAGTAATCTGGTAAAGATGCAACACAAGCTGGGTAGAGGAGATTATATCTGCAGCTTGGACTCCTTTTTGTATTTTAGGAACTCACACGCACCCCCCCCCCCCAAAGAGAGCTGAAGAAAAGCCCAGCCTGCCAGCACAGGGAGGCGAGAAGAGAGGAAGGCCTCAGCCTCTAGGCCCCATTATTTGCTGGCCCAGCAGGGCAACTGAGTGGCCACTGTGTGAGACAGCATGCTGGACTCGATGGACCGCTTGGTCTGGCCCAGCAGGGCTCTTCTTGGTTCTTATGCTTTTGAAACAGCACTTAGGGCCACAGGGATGTCCACATCAGACGTTTAGGACCGATGAACCACAGAAACGCTCGTCTGAGGAGCTGCTTGTTCCTACAGGTGAAGGGACTTTAGGTACTGAAAAGTATGCACATGGAGAGTGATTTCAGCTAAGCATACCTTTATTTAGTCAGGAACAAGACAACGTACCCGGCTCGCAGGCCGGCTTATATTCCCTCAGGGAAACCCACCACCAAACACACACCCCACTCCCGATAGGCTATTTACAGTAACCAAGAGACCTATTGGCCTCTTGGCCTGGCCCTAGCCCTTTCATTGGGCCTGGCTAGGATCCTACTTGCCCATTGTATTTTGGTCTGAAGCTAGAGTCTTTGTGCCTGGGCAAGTCCAGGCATGCCCGGCCCTGTCAGGGCCTGATACACTACAGGTACTGAGGTTACACTCTACAATGGTGAAAAATAATCAAATGGAAGAAAACAGGACAAGAAGGACAGGAGTTCTTTGAAGCCAATCTCAATCATTTTTAAAAGCATAGAACTAAAATTCAACATATGGTTGCACTTTGATGTCATTCAGTATCTCTAGACATGCTACACAGTTCATTAGAATCAGAGTTGTCATTTTGTGATTCAGCTGTACTAAAGTGGTCTGTGTGAAGCCCAAATGCAATTAGGATTTTTTTTCCAAAAGGGCATTTGGTCCCAGGGGTTATTAGTGGGATTAATACGGTCCATTGCTGGGAAGAGCTTTGTCAGCAACAGGAGCAGCAGATACAGGAAAGCTCAGGGACCCTGGAGAGTAGGATTAGACCTAGTCTGAAGATTGCCTGACTGTATTTAGCACGTCAGTTCTGTTTTCCGTTTATACTGTTGCTACTTCCCTCTTATGGTCACGAAAGGAGAAATCTTTAAAGCAGGCAAGTTGGCAAGGAGACCCCAGAAGACAGAGAAGCGCACTGTAAATAAAAGCAGGCTGTAGCCGAAGATAAAAATAGGCGGATTCTCGTTAGGAAAAACGGGCTGGTTCTGAGCACAATGACCTGAATTAATGCTGTATCAGTGAAAATATGAGGCCTGTGTCCTCACGTACCCACTAGGGGGAGCTCTTTCTCTTCCCTGCTCGATTCCTTCCTCGCCCTCGTCTTTCTCCCCGTGGTTTACTGCAAAAGTTTTTCTAAAACTAACAATACCAGAGAAAGGAAGTGCTCGCCGGTGATTGGACGGGGGATTTTTGTAGGTTTGATTCCTTGATTGGACAGGAGCCGTTGGGGGTGGGAAGAGTGTTGATGTGCGCGCGGGGGGGGGGCACCCTCTCCCCCCCTCCCTTCAGCCTCAGTGGCTGATCTTGTTCTCACTGTACACTTTACTATCGCTTGCAATGTGACACTAAAATATAGACTGTCTCTCTCACACGCACATCACACCCCATACACACACACACGCACGCATACAGCCACACACGCACATACCGACACACGCTGGCACACACGCATGCACGCACGCACACACGGACCCACGCGGAGGACCGGGCAATCCAAAGTGGAGTTCTAGAGGAGATCTATATGCGTGCCTATCTTTAACCAAGCAACGGGCAAGGAACTAAATCTGGTCCAACTCGGAACTATTTTTTTTTCTTTTTAAAAAACTCCGTCCCTGTTCCTCCTGCATCATGTTTGGGGCTCCCATGGCTTTGGATTTTGTAGTGCTTTTCTGCTTGGCATCTGCAATTGCCGCCGTGGAAGGTAAAATACGAACTGCGAGGGGAGGGGAGGGGAGGGGAGGGGGGGCAAAACTTTTGTGTCCCCGCCGGATCGCTCCGTTGTTGTGGGTGCTGGAAGGTGCATGCCGGGTCCGAGTCTCCCTCTCGTCTCCCTGGGTCGGGCGACAGCGGGGACGACTGGCGAGGAGAAGAGGCGAGGCGGGCTCCGGAGGGCTGGCAGGAGTCCTGCGCTGCGCGGCTGGCACCCGGGCGGCTTCCCTCCTTCGCCCCGGCTGCCGGGCACGCAACTGCCCCTTTGAGACGGGGCTGCGAGGGGGAAATCCCTTCCGGGGATGGCGTTCAGGGGCCCGCGCCGACTTCCCCGGGGCTCCGAGCCCCCCTCCCCGCGCCTCCCGCTCCTCGCCCGGCGGGCGGACCGCGATGCCCGCCCCCCTCTGCCCGGGACTGGCTGGCTGGC